AAAAAAAAAAAAAAAAAAACATTTTGAGAGAGTCACACACAAAAAAAAGGTTCTTCCGATATTAAACATTCGCACAATTGTGCGGACCACGCAACCGTCCACACGATGAAAACAAGAAAGGAACTCGTCAACGACAACCATGCCGCCATTCAATCGACCCAGCAACTTCGCGCACGACGACCATGAACACGGGCCACGTCACAATTCCTCCCGCCTACCGATCGCACCAACCCACATCCTTCCGCTTCACCCTTTCCCCACAATGCCCAAGTCTACTCTACACCGAACGCCGTTCTCATTCACCTCCCACAAAAGGTTCTCATCGAAGTCGATCCCCACGTCGAGGAGGATGTTGTGGAGAGTGCACACGACCACGAATTGATGTGGCAAGGTGTCCAGGTTTGTCTTGTGGGTGCACAGGAACAGATGCCACATGCACTTCAGTCGCCCAAATGCCCTCTCCACACACCCCCGCGCCACCTTCTGTCGCGTGTCGAAGCACTCCTTGTCAGGATCTTGGTCGATTCCTCCATACGGTTGCACGATCCATGGACAGGCGATTGGATAACCGTTGTCGCCTAGCAGGTAACCTCGCGTGACAACACCGTGTGGGAGATTCTCCAGAGGTGCGTCGAACAGCTCGCCAGCTTCTGCACGCCTCCACAGCTGGGAATTGTGCAGGACACGGACGTCGTGCACACTTCCCGGGTATCCGACGTGGACGTCGAGGATCCGCATATCCAAATCCACCACCATCTGCGCCTGCACGGAAAACTTTCGTTTGCGGTCATAGTAGTTCTCCGAAGGTGCGCCGACGGGCTTGTCAATGTACATGTGTGTATAGTCGATTGCGCCGAAGCAGTTCGGGAAACCCTTGTCACAGAAAGCGCACAGAATTTGCGCACGTCTACGGCCCACTAGCCACTTTATCGTGTCGGGGTACGCCTGCAGCAGCGTCGAAGTGACGTCGCGGACGGCCTGCAGTCCAGTTGCCCTGCCGATGCTGAAGGCTGACGTGCCGCTCTCGTACGTCTCTCCTGACATCCACCTGTACAACGCGAAAGCGATCACCTGCTCCACTGGCAATGGCATCCTGTAGTGCGTGACCTTCTTCTCCACGTACGAGGCGCACACGACTACGATCTGCCTGAACATGGCCATCGACATGCGCAACTTTTGGTGGTAGTACTCGTCCGTCGCATCATCACACAGGCGAAAGGTCCTCCCATGTTCCGCCATTCCGTCGTCTAATCCACCAACGAGGGGTCTGCCGCGGGAAAACGCCAGACGACAGCGCGACACACAACTGAACGACTGCCTCACACGTGGCCACGCAATCCGGCGCTTCGGCAATGCTCTGCAACCACGCTCTTCTTTTACGGAGCTGCGTTAGCATGTCGTGTGAGGACGACGACATGCCGCTCATCGTATTGACGACGACGGCAGTCACCGCCATCGCCATCGCGTCGATCTCTTCTTCACGTAGACCTTGCCCGCAGCCGCGAACGTCCATCTCTGAGAATCGTTCCGCCTCCACAGTGTGACACATACCACAGCCGCCGAAGACACGCCCGCTGCTCAACCCTCCAGCAGATCCAAATCCACACACGCCGGAGCCGAAGAAGCACCCGCCGTTGTACGCTGCCACAGGAGAGGACGTACGCCGGAGCCGAAGACGCGCCCGCTGCTCTACGCTTCCATAGGACAGCACGCACGGCGGAGGTGAAGACGCGCCTTGCAGAGATGTGGCGGACCCACCAGGTGTGGTGCTCCGCTAGGGATAATGATGGAGATGGAGGATGAGGGAGGAGCGAGACAGCACAGCGTCGCTCCCATGCAAGACTCCAGCGCACATACTCCAAAACTGTGCGAGTATAGAATGATCTCGAAAACAGACAACGGCTGGGGTATACCCCAGCGGACTGACGGGACTGGACTGGACTGGCTGGTACTGACAGAGGTACCGGCCTGGACTGGACTGGACTGCCCCCGAATAGAACACAGGCCTGTGAGAACAGGCCAAGGGGATGGTCTCACAGGCCAACCAGAGGTCCGCTACACGATCCTCGACTTGTGATGGATCGCCTGGATGCAAACACGCTTCCGCCAAGAAGTGGAACTCTACCAAAGAAAAAGAAAACCTGAGTAGTCTAGGATGTGGAGCAATCTCCATGCTGAGTCCATGCGATCCAACCTAGGATATAAAATGTCACAAAACAACAATGTCACAGCTAACAGCCTAAGTAAAAGCAGAAACAACTACCTAGCATACATGTCCTAGGAAAGCAGAAAGTAATGACAATTAGATCCTAGAATGTTGGAGGCACTAGCCTCAGTCTGGAAACAACTGATTAGTGAATAAGTCGTAAGAACAGCAAAAGCAGAACAACTAAATCCTAGAAATGTCAGAGGCAGTAGCCTCAGTCTGGGAGCAACAAGCAACAACAAGTCAACCATATGTCACAGGAGAAGTGTGTCGGAAACCAAAGGGTGGGGTGGTTTCTGAGGGTGGCGAATGCAGCCCAGGGGTCGAAAACTCCTAAGGGCATCCACACATAGATAACAGGGAGACACATGTCATCACGCTCAATGAGGGTAGGGAACTGGGAGCGAACAGAACCAATGACCCTAATAGATAGACCATCAGGGCGGGTAAAGCTCGACTAAGGGGTGACCGCTATGGAGGGTCGACCATGCAAGGGAACAAGGGAGCTTGGTATACTGGGCGCACCTAGATGAAGCATGCGGGGCTGCCTAACTAGGGCGTGAGGGCCGGCAGAGGGTAGAAAGGTGATGGGTAAGGGAATCATGCAAATGACTCCTAAAGTGAGGGAAGTCGGAGCTAGATCCGTAAGGTGGGAAGCCAGGGCAACGCTACGGTCCCAATATCTATGCGTATACCAAGGGAGAGCCCAACTCATAGGAACCCAGCTAAAGGGAGACCATCATGCGACACAACCAGGGTACTGTGTAGGGTAAAGTGGTAAGAGGGTGATGACGTCTAAAGTAGGCAGACCTGATCATGACGAAGTCCATGAAGCTGCCGATGACGTCCACGATGAGAAGTCCGGAATGTCGTCGAGGAAGAGCCGCAACGTCGACGAGCTGAAGTAGCAAAACTGGAGTGGATGGAGTACTGAGAAGTCAAGGACGTGGGAAGATAAGTCAGAACCAATCGTCGTATCGAACAGGACGACGACGAGTGCGCTGTGGACGCTCAGAAGCATCTGACTGTTGCTGAAGGTCTGCCTCAGATGGAGCAGGCTCGACTTCAGCGGTCTCCTCATCCGGGGGAGAAGCAGGAGGGTCAGTGGGCTGAGGAGCAGTGAACCCAGCACGACGAGCACGGTCATAGGCACGCACCAATATGCGAGCATGCTGCAAGTGCTCGAGGGGCTCCCAGGTAGCCTCCTCATCAGGGTAACCCTTCCAACGTACGAGATACTCGACGTGGGGAGGGTTGTCATCGGTGACTCGGCGACCAATGATGTCTGAAACGAGGAACTCCTCGTGGCCGTCCACCATGATGGGTGGAGGGCGCTCGTATGGTCGTCCAGCGAAACGCTCAGACAGGCTGCGGTAAGGACGCAGTAACGAGACGTGGTAGACATCGTGCACACGAGCCTGGCGTAGGTAGTCGGGCAGCTTCACACGAAAGCTGACCAGGCTAGAAGCCGTATCAGAACCGACGGCCTGGAGGATGCGGTATGGGCCAAAGAACCGACGCCGAAACTTGCGAAGCGTGTCCGGTTCGAGCTGTAAGTGGCAGGCGTCGATAAACACATCATCACTGACTTTGAATGGATGATCCATCTTCGATCGGTTCGCACGTGCTGCCATGTGAGTCTGGGAAGCGACTATGTGCTCATGTGCGGTCTTCATGATCGACGTCATGTGTGCAGCCCAATCATCTAGCGCGGGACAACTCGTGTCGGGGTGCATCTGTGACGGTCGAAGGAAGTCCGCGGAAACACGAGGGTGATACCCGAGGTCGCAATAGTATGGTGACATCCCCGTGGCTGGCGAGACAGCGTGGTTGTAGGCTATCTCCGCGTGGGCAAGATGGAGATCTCACTGCTGGTCGTCACGAACAATCTTTCAGAGGATGTTTCCGAGAGTCATATTCGTGATCTCAGTCTGACCATCAGTCTGAGGCTGGTAAGACGAGGAGAAATGGAGCTGAGTGCCGTACACCTCGTGGAGCCGTCGCCTGAATCGGCTGGTAAAGCGTGGGTCACGGTCATATATGATGCTCAGAGGTAACTCGTGGTCATGCACGACTCGGTCAAACACGATGTCGACGACCTCACGTGTACTGATGGCATAGCGGCACAGAACAAAGCGTGCACACTTCGTGAAGCGGTCGACGGCGACCAGGATAGCATCATGACCGCGGGGGGTCGGAGGACGAAGAGGACCGATAAAGTTCATCGATATGGACTACCAACGACCCTCAGGGATAGGAAGAGGCTGGAGCAAACCATAAGGAAGGTGGTTCACACTGTTCACCTTCTAACAAATGAAACACTCTACGACGTAGTCCTTCACAAAGTGCTTGCGCTTCGGCCAGACGTATAGGCGGCTCACACAAGCCAACGTCTTGTGGAAGCCCATATGACCGGCGGGTGCCTGGTCATGGAACTCTGCTACTGCTCGGACACGTAGCTGTCCAGTGGAGGGAACGCAAATACGGGGCTCTCTGGTGCCCTGTGAACCGTGCCAGTACGCAAGACCGTTGTCCCCGAAAGAGTAGTTCGGGACGGTCTTGCCACTCTGAAGGGTCGCGTGGATGTCTCGATAGTCGGGGCAGTGGCAGTACTGAGTGCGAAACTCGTCGATCACCGAGTGGTGGACGGTGGTGACTGAGATGGAAGAGAGTTGGATCTGGTCCTGATCGTGGTCAGGGCGCCGGGATAAGGCATCTGCGACCCGATTAGTCTCACCCTTGATGTGCTCAGTGGTGAAACTAAACTCGGATAGGTCGCCCCACCAGCGGGCCTGTCGAGGAGTGAGCTTCGGTTTTGTCAGAAAAGCCTGGACAACAGAGTTGTTCGTGCGCACCGTGAATGGTGCCCCGTGCAGGTAGTGACGCCAATGCCGAGCGGCATAAACTACTGCGAGAACCTCACGTTCATCAGCGGTGTAGTTTATCTCGGCGGGCAGGAGCTGACGGGAGTAGAAGGCTATCGGACAATCACCTGAGCGAGACTCCACAGTGCCGTCCTCGGTGATGGTAGGAGAATAGTCAATAGAAGGCTCGTCAGTAGCTGGAGGAGTAGGCGTCAGTCGGGAAGCAGTGGGCGGGGTAGGTGGTCACAAGAGAGGGATACGAGGATGAGAGGAATCAGGGGAGGAAGGGAAGATCTGAGAAAGCACTGCTCCTACAGCAAAGTCTGACGCATCGGTGGTAAGGATAAAAGAGCGATCAAAATCGGGTAGGTGAAGAACCGGTGCGCATGTCACCGCCTTCTTGAGGGCGCAGAAGGCGTCCTCATGGAGGGGTGTCCAACCCCAGGGTGGGTGCTTCTGCAGATGGGTGGAGGTAAGGACGTAGGAATACCTAGCTAGATGAAATTACTATAGTAGCTGGTAAGGCCTAGGAAGCTGCGAAGCTGCTTGGCGGATGTAGCGACGGGCCACTCCACGATAGCAGTGATTTTTGCGTCGTCCATGTGGAGACCCTGGTCAGACACGTATTGTCTTAAGAAATCCACTTTGTGCTGGGCAAAGCGGCACTTGCTCAGCTTGGCGTAGAAGCCATGTCTGCGCAAGCGGTCAAGGACGTCGCGGAGATGTCTGAGGTGCTCCTTAAGGGTACGACTGTAAACCAGGATATTGTCGAGGTAGACGAGAACGTACTGCTCCAGGATGTCTCTGAAGATGTCATTCATCGCCCTCTGGATGGTAGCGGGTGCGTTGGTGAGGCTGAATGGCCTCACAGTGAACTCGTAGTGGCCGAAGCGCTATCGGAACGCTGTCTTCGGCTAGTCAGCTGCAGCGACGCGGATCTGATGGTAACCGCTACGAAGATCAATCTTCGTAAAGAAGCAGTTGTCTGCTAGGCGGCCGAACAACTCGTCGAAATGGGGCATGGGGTAGCTGTTCTTAACCGTATAGCGGTTGAGGCCGCGATAATCGATGCAGAGACGAAGAGTTCCATTCGCTTTGCGAGCAAAGAGGACGGGTGCACCCCACGGGGAGTTGTTGGGCTTAATAAAACCCAGTCCCAGGAGCTCCTCAAGCTGACGCTTGAGTTCAGTGGCCTCGGGGATCGAGAGTCTGTAGGGTGCCTGGTGGTGAACTCGATAGTCAGGCACAAGCTGGATGGAGTGCTCGACATCGTGCATCGGTGGGATGCCGGCGTACAAGAACGGCGATGGGAAAACCTCGTGGTACTCTCGGATGAGGTCACGAACGGCGGGCTCCAGGTCAGCCGTATAACGTGCGAGCTCCTCAGCGTCAACGTCAGCGCGCGACAGCGGGGTGGACTCGACGGACGGCGGAGGGTGGGAAATAGAGATGGGAGTCATGGAGATGGAAGGAGGATCTGGCTCTAGAGGGATGAGCTCGGCGTCGGGACAGGGTGGATCATAGTGTAAGAGATCCGGCACGACGGTCACGTTCACCATAGAGAAGGTGACGTCGTCCAGTCGAGCGAACTGCCGAGGCGAGGTGACAGTGATAGAAGGAGATGGTGTGGGCACGGAAGGCTCCGGGGGAGAAGGGTCGGGGCGTGGTGTCGCGGTGGTACCTATGAAAGTTACGCGATACGTCTGTCCACACTTCGTTTTGAGAACGATAGTGTTGGTCGTCCAATCGGCCTCGGTGCTGCGGAACCGACGAGACCACGGAGTGCGGAGAATGAAGTCGTACCCCGTCTCCATTACATCAAAATGTGTGGAGGAGCGGTGGTGACAAGACGCCAAGGGACAATCAGTCGCCTCGAGAGTGAGGAAGAAAGAGAGGTTGGTGACCGTCTGATCAAAGAAGCGCTGGGTCTTGTCATCCCCGAGGGTAACGGAGATGGGAGTCGCAGACCCTATCGTGGGTAAGCGGGCTTCTTTCACCACACGTGGGTGAATAAAATCACCCTGAGAACCAGAATCCCACAGCGCTGAGTACACCCTCGTGGAGGTCCCGAGTCGTACTAGAATGATCGGGAGGGTGCGATCAGGGTCAGAGAGGATGGTGCGAAGGCGACGAAGTGCAGCGACATGGAGGGTGACTCGCTCCTGACGAGCCTGGAGCATGCTCAAGTCCAGAAGAGAGGACACAATGTCCTCACGAGTACCGAGATGCTCGCTGCAACGGGCTGAGCGAATGGCTCGACGCGTCAGTAGTCGCGGCGGGGTAGGAGGGGAGACGGTGGTCTGCCAAGCCGCAGATTGTACAGCGACAGAGGGCTGAGTACACTCTGTCGGGTCCTGCGAGACCTCAAGTCCAGTAGCGAGAGGGGCAAACCGCGACGGGGATATCGGGAAGCCGGCTACTAAGGAGGGCGCAGGTGTACACTGCACCGTGGCAAGGAGGCACCGCAGGGATGTGAGGCGCCGGGGGGGGACGGAGCACGCCGCTGGTGGGAGAGGTCAGGGTAGTGGCGGTCGAGGGCGGCAGTGTAAGGGCACCGCGAGTAGGTATGACCGTCCTTGCGGCATCGCAAACACCCACGCCGGCCCAAAATAGCCGCACGCTCCGCAGCGGAAAGGACACCGCGAGGAGGGACAAAGCTCTGAGGGAGGTCCTCCTGAGGGACCTCGGGGGGCGACGCGCTTGCGTGACCGGGGTGGCTGCGTGCCCGGGAAAGGGCGGAGAGGATGAGCTGGAGGCGCTCGAGCATAGGGAAAGTAGAGTCCTCTAGGTGGTAGTGGACGGCCTCGCCGAGGTCGAGGTCGGCGCAATGGTCACCCTCTGGTTATAGCGGGGCACCAACGTCCAGCTCACCATACTCGACTGCGCTGAAGCGGCGCGAGAAGTGGCGGCCTTGCTGCGCGAAACGGCGGGGGCGACAGCGGAAAGGGGAACGGCGCTGGGAAGTGTCGTGTGAGGAGGAGGAGGCGTAGCCCGTGCGCTGAGGCTGGGAGGAGGAGGCGGGCTGAAGACGGGCCCGCATCCGCTGATGATCCCTTGCGGCCTCGTAAGCCTGCGGGGCCGATTTGAACTCGTACCGCCAGAGCTCGGAGCGGTACTCGAGCGGAAGGCTGGCCCAGAAATGATCGATAAGGGCAGCCTCGGGGAGGAACGCCACATCACAAATGAGGCGGGCGTCCTGAAAGACCTGGATGTGGCGATCCAGGCCGGCAGCGCCACCAGAGACGGACCAGCGTGTAGTGACGACACTCTCGAAGGCGTCAGTCACATCATATCGGGCTCCAAAGCGATCCTCGAGGAACGCCTGGAAATCCATGAAGGTCCGAGTCCGACCCTCATGAAGGGAGTAAGAGCAGAAATCCTCCCAGGCATCGAAAGGACCGCCACGCAGGCGCGTGGAGAGGTGAGCCACCCACGTGTCGGGTGGGGCGTCCATGAGCTGGAGCGTGCGGGTGGCAGACTGGAGCCACCGAGACACACGTATGCCTGTACCGTCATACAAGGCAATGTCCGTCAAGCGGACGAGTGGTGCGCCACCGTTTTGGCGGCGAGGAGAACGGGGAGCAGAGGCCTGCGATACGACTGAATAAGTCGGCGCAGGTCCTGGAGGAGGGGGCGCAGCTGACTGTACGCTCGGGCCGCTTGGTGGAGCGGCGGGGGGAACAGCGGCAGGCTGCACGGGAGCTGCGGTAGAAGAGGTCGCAGCAACCGAGGGGATAGGGAGGAGGTAGGATGGGGATGGGTAGGGTGCAGGGCGAGGGAAGCGAGCCTGCATGGAAGGAAGAGTAGAGGAAGAAGGGGGTGCACCGGAAGGCGCGGCCACCTGTGAGGGTGGGGGTGGCTGAAGGCGTTAGAGGGCGAGGTCGGCCCGGAGCTGGGCAATCTCGTCCTCGAGACCTCGAACGTAGGTCGAGCGAGGTGTGGCAGGAGGAGACGCACGAGCGGCGCGAGGCATCCCACAAGGGGGAGAGCCAGATGGCGCTGCGGTCGTGCGAAGGGGAGGGAAGAGCGGGGCACCCTGAAAAGCTGAGACCGCGGCAGGAGGTTGTGGTCCCGTGGCCGTAGTGACCGAAATCTGGGCGGGTGCGACCGCAGAGTGAGGAGAGGCCTGGCCAGTGGCGGCCATCGCGCTAGGAGTGTGGTCGGTCACTAGGATGGTCAGGTCGGGGGAACTGTAGGAGGAAGTTCCACTGTGGCCACCCGGTCGGAGGACTGGGGACCCAGACTGGGAGCCAGGAAGAGAGAGAGAGTCAAGAGATGAGGGAGGACGACCAGCGTCCTGGAGTTGCCACATGCCGGAGGCAAGGGTCGCCACCTGCGCCTGTAAGGGCGCGAGGGTCGCGAGTTGCGCCTGGATGGGCGCAAGGAGGGAGGTGAGGAGGGTGTTCAGATCCCCCTGGGCCTGATGACCCTGGTCCACCGACACGGGTGTGGAGCCCGGTGCCGTGGTCGTCGCCGCGTCGGCGGCATGTGACACACCGTCGGCCATGGGGAGGTGACGGGCCGGACTGGAGGGGGCCGGAGGAGGTCCGCGTGAGCGGAGGGCGTTGTGGGGGGTCCGCGGTAGAAAGCGACAGATGGCGCTAGCAAGGCTAGTGCGGGCGCCGTCAAAAGGGGAGGTTCGGGTCCAGGGTTCCCGAAGAGGAACGGGAAGTAAGGGGGGTTTGAAGAACCCTAAACCCTAAAAAAAAAAAAAAAAACAACCCTAAGAAAACCCTAACCGGAGTTTGAGTGGTTAGGGTAGGGTACCGGTGACCTAATCAAGAAAATAAAATAGCAAGCGTAGGGGGGGAAGGCGAGAGAAAAATAAATAAGCAGCGAGATTTTAAGAGAAAAACAAAAGAAAATAAATAATAAAAATAATTAAGGTGAGAAGTAAACAAAATGTGAAAAGAAAGATAATATTTATTTTTTTGAAATTTTCGGCAGCATTTCCCTACCCCCCATGGGGTCAAGAATGTGCCAAGGGGAAAGGAGAGACCAAGATAAGCACACTAGGTTTCAAACTGTCGCAAATAAAAAATTTCAGAAAATAAATAAAAAATAAAAAATAAATAAATAAATAAGTAAATAAATAAATAAGTAAATAAGTGGATGAGGAGGTGGAAAGAAATGTAGTATCTAATTTTTCAAAAATTTTGGCAGCATTTCGTTACCCCCATGGGGTCGAAGTGTGCCGAAAAAGACTAAGTTAGAGAAAACCAGAAAATTTCGGCAGCACTTCGCTACCCCCACTAGGTCAAAACGTGTGCCTGAAGCAAGAAAGACTAACACCTAATCAGATTTAGGGTTGCCATAAAAAAAAATCGAATTTTCAGAATAGATAGGACAATAAATGAAATAAATCAGAAAATAAGAAAAGAGGGTGGGGAAGAAGATAATTCGATTTTTTTTTTTTTTTTTTGAAAAAAGAGAAAAGATAAATCAAAAGAGAGAAAGAAGAAAAACAGAAAAAAATTCGAAGTAGGGGGGAAAGGGAATGAAAAAGTGAATGAGAAAAGAAAGAAATAGGTGGGAGAGAGAAAAAGATGGAAGTGGAAGGTGGAGGGATGATGTGGTGGTAGTTGGGGGAGAGGAGGGTTGGGGAAAGGTAGAGAGGGATCAAGAAGCAAGGAGAAAAGGAGGAAAATAAAGAAAAGAAATGAAGAAAAGAGAGTAAAAGAGTGGGTGGTGGGAGAAAGGTGGGGTGGGGCGAGGGGTGTGAGTAAGAGGAGAGAGAGAAAGAGAGAGAAAGTGGGTTAGTAGGGAGAGGGGAAAAGTGATACCTGGCCCTTGGTGTCTCCAAGGGCACAAGGTGTACCAAGACCAGGAGGGTCTTGGCCTTCGCTGCAGCAAGCCAGCTGGAGGAGAGAGGGGACTGAGATCTTGATCAGCCACCCAGATCTGACTGCACTGCAGCAAGCCAAGTGGCGGAGGGAGGGGGGGCTGAGATCTTGATCAGCCCCTACCAGCAGCACTGCAAATCCACGGTGTGCTGTGTGAGCAAACCCTCAGCACTGTTGAGCAGCCCCTGATCAGGGGGTCTTCAAGGTCTCCAGCAAGTTGCCACGTGGTACTGCAGATGGTCACGGGGGGGAGAGAGGAGAGAGAAGGGAAATCCGTTTTTTGCCAATAACTTTTTATCCGCTGGGCGGAATTTGGCAAAAAAGGATTTGTTGAAAGCGTTTTCGAAACTGCTTCCAACGAGATATGACGTGACTTCAGCTGCGGCTTGTATAAATAGCGCTCGTACAAATAAATGAGCGCGCGCGGTTTTGGAGTTGTGAAATAAAATTTGCGATCTTTGAACGATTGTAGTTCCGAAAGTAGCGCACAACATCTATCAATCTATAGCTCGTTGGAAGCGGCTCGTCGAGAGCTTTCTAACAAGCCAGAGATCAAAATTTTTGGACACCGGATGCAGAAGTTATGGTGAAAACTGTGCACCAGTATCATGATCAAAGAGAAGTAGCGAGCTTTTTTGCTCAAGCCACGTGAGAAATGATAAAGGGGGTGTATGGGGGAGGGGAGCAGGGAGAAATGCCTCCTCCGATACCAATGTAGCTGACCCACCAGGTGTGGTGCTCCACCAGGGATGATGATGGAGATAGAGGATGAGGGAGGAGCGGGACAGCACAACGCCACTCCCACGCAAGACTCCAGCGCACATACTCCAAAACTGTGCGAGTGTAGAATGATCTCGAAAACAGACAACGGTTGGGGTATACCCCAGCGGACTGACGGGACTCGAATGGACTGGCTGGTACCGACAGAGGTACTGGCCTGGCGTGGACTGGACTGGCCCCGAATAGAACACAGGCCTGCGAGAACAGGCCAAGGGGCTGGTCTCACAGGCCAATTAGAGGTCCACTACAAGGGAGGTAGGCCCGCTGGTCACAACTTCCGTGGACTTGGAAGACGGATACCCACGCTGAACGGTTCGCCAGCGCCGTCGTTTGTACATCACACGCATCGCCTGGCCGTTCTCTGCACCGACACCCTATGTCCGAGAAAATTCGAATTTGAATTTTCGAAGTTCGAGGTGACCGCGTTTTTCATCGCCCCCTCCTCACCCGCCCAAGGGCCTCCGCGGTTTGTACCATGAACACCAGCTAGGGTTAGGACGGACATCGGCGGCGCGGCTGCGCATACGCATATGAAAACCGGCCACAGGAGGCATTTTAGGACGAATCCTAAAATATGATTTTTAGGATTGCGTGTAACGATGCCGCACAGAATCCTAAAAAACCTTTAGGACTCCTAAAAATTTTAGGATTCTTTTAGGAGTGTCTAACGAGACCCCAAGGGTGACCGTACCTTGGCTTTCAAGGCGTGACGACCCTGGTTGCTTTTTGTCGAGGGATGATAGAGGCATGGCTGACAGATGCATACAATTGCAGTTGTCACTTTTTCCGCCTGTGTGTATTGGGCTGCAGTAAGTGTGGATGTGGGGCACAACTGTATGTGTGCGGCCACCTCTGCACGTTTGGATGAGGTTGAAAGGTTGTCCATAGTGATAACAAAAAAAAGGGTCATTGTGACTCTTTAGAGCAAACTTGAAATTCCTAGCCGTACCTTGGCTTTCAACGCGTGACGACCTTGGTTGCTTTTTGTCGAGGGATGATAAAGGCATGGCTGGCAGATGGAGTGATATGCCATGCCTTTATCATCCCTCGACAAAAAGCAACCAAGGTCGTCACGCGTTGAAAGCCAAGGTACTGCTGGGAATTTCAAGTTTGCTCTAAAGAGTCACAATGGCCCTTTTTTTTATGTGGCTGTGGTAAGTGTGCATGTCGGGACGCGTACTTTTCCACCTGGGACGGTTGGGAAGTGTACTTTTCCACCTGTGTGTAAGTGGTAAGTGTGCATGTCGGTACGGCTGGGACGCGTACTTTTCCACCTGTATGTATGTGGTTGTGGTAAGTGTGCATGTCGGGTACAGCTGAATGTGCGCGACCACCTCTGCATGTGTGGATGAGGTGCAGTGATAACAAAAAAAAGGGTGATTACGACTCCTTAGAGCAAACTTGAAATTTCCGATATTCAAAGTTCAAAAGAGAAGTTGTAGATTGACAAGATCCGCAGTTTTTTGTAACAGCTTTGCATCTAGAGGAGAAATGAAGCATGATAGATCATGGTAGGTAGGGAACGTGGAATAGAGGTGGGACCTCGCTCCACTTCACAACATTCAAAATGTGTCTGGAGAGGGCAACCGATACATTCAAAATGTTGGATCAGCTGGATTGTGTTGCGGTGAAGATCACACATACATGTGGAATGTTGGGTAGTGGAGCGAGGCCCTTGAACTCATTTCTGTTTCTTTTTTTTTTTTTTTTTTTTTTTTTTT